TCTCTCTCTCTCTCTCTCTCTCTCTCTCTCTCTCTCTCTCTCTCTCTATGTATAGATATACAAATTAAAATTTGCGACTAATATAGGAAAAGGAAAAATAGTTGAGTCTCCATGATCGAATTGATTGGTGCAATGTTCTGGGCATGAGCTTCAATGAACAAAGGAGAAGCAATTCCAATGGATCAACTGCTTCAACACAACGCCTCGGCTGATTTAAACCACGGGTGGTACGTTTCATGTGTGAACATAACAAAATGAACCTGCATGTAAAACCTAACTTTCATTATAATCTCACGAAGCACCATTACACTATCAAACAATCATATGTGCGTGTATGTGCACGGCGTACGCATAAGAGAGAGAGAAAGAGATAACAGGAAAAAAGTCATGAAACCATCCTGCACTTTCCAATGAGAGAATGCGAGAGAGAAAGCCATACTCTATGCATGAGATGAAGATGTGTCAGACATATATTTCCTTACACCTTAACTCCCTATTTGTTTTCACAATTAATTCAAGATAGTGCTATTAAATATCGGATTTGATAACATTATTGATGTCCCATACACAGGGCTGAGAATAGGTCGGATCGTATCCAGATCAAGCAGGATCCAAATTCAGATCCAAAAAGCATACATGGGATCCGGACCCTGATCTGATTGGATCCAAAAATATTCTGATCCAGATCCGGATCCAAAAAGTATACATGCGATCCAGATCCGATTGGATCCAAAAATTATTTTACATATTATATTATATCCATAAAGTAATGTAAAATATTATATAACAAAAAATATTATATAATAATATAATATATAATTTTCGATCCAATCTGAATTACTATTTTGTGCCGGATCCTATCCGAACTATTCGGATCCAATTTTGGATCCACATCAGAGCTGTCGGATCAAATCTTGGATCTATACGTGGATCCGAATAGGGTCCAAAATTCGGGTTTCAAATCCAAATTGGATAAATTCTCAGCCCTACATATACATTTTTTAGCACGGTGTTCATCTTCTGAGTTGTGTTTAAGCAATAGGAGCATGCATTTTGAGGCATTGGGGCCAGGGTTTGGGGGATTGCAGGGGTAGGTTTCTTTCCCCATGTGATTGGAGAAAAACTCACATTAAGTTCACAAATTAAGTTAGGGTCCTACGTTTAACAAAACAGGAGAACAAATTTTCAGTTTTTGATGTTCGAAATTTGAACAACTAAGGTATTGACTTCATTTGAGGCCCCACCTAGGTGTTCATTGCTCTCTGTTTTGAAGGAAGTCCTCCGAATGCACAAAGAGGGCCGCTTGCTAGCTGACCTTGTTGAACAAGTTGGTGAGGCCGTTCCGAGAGTAATGAGGGCGAACAAGTACGAGTGGAAAGCAAAATTGGTGACCATGGTGTGGATATGCAAGAAGCTGATTTACATGCCGATTGTGATAAATCCTTAGTTTATCTGGCATATGACAACCCCAAAAATTAGGAAAGAACAGCATTTGCTGAGAACCAATTTTTTCGCACACGCTGCATTTCTGGTAAGGCCTTTTTTTTAATATCTAGTGGGAAATTTTACAATATTACCACTGATAAAAGTACGTGAACATAGTGCCAAAGGACATGGTGGACAGACCTAAGTTGAAAGCTGAGAAACATATGGATGCCTACAAGATTTCTTGGTTCGATCCTTGTTTCTACCTGCTGTCTTCTTCCCTTCACCACTTGTAAAATTTAATCAGATTTGGTTTGGTGCAACATAATGCACGTGAATGCGTGCATATTTTGCTTAGGTGACCCTGGCAATATGACTGCAAAACCATACAAGATGGAGATAAGAATACTTACATGTTTTAGAAGGACAATCTGAAAAGTGACTCTCCTTATGGAGGGTCAAAGGCTAAAATGTACACTATGCCCAAACTCCTTCCTTAGACAAGTTCCTAGAAGAAAGAAAGCAAACTATGCCTTACTCAGAAAAAGGAAGATGGGGATTATGCCATTCTCCAAATGTCATAGAACCAATTTCAAGATGTGATACTAGAAGGTTTATCAAATGATCTGCATCAAGTGAAAAAAATTCAGCACCAAATAGACCTCATCCCGAGTTCAAGCTCGTCTAATTTAGCTAATTACCATATGAGACCAAAAGAACATGAGGAGCTAACTTGGTAAGTTGTAGAGTTGCTGAAGAAAAGCTAATTCGAGAAAGCATGAGATAATGTGTAGCTCCAGCCCTCACAGCACCCAAAGTAGATGGTTTCACAGTTTATATGTGTAAATGCACATAAAACGACAATCAAGTGCTGCTTCCCAATGCATGACTTGATGGCTTGTTGGATATGCTGATGGGTGCACGTATCTTCTCAAAAATGGACAAAAGGAGGGAAAAATATCAAATCTAGATATGCCAGAGTCATGTGTGGAAAATGACTTTCAAAACTTGAGGACTTTTATGAATGGATGGTGATATCTTTTGGTTTATCTAATGCACCTAGCATCTTCATGTGCATGATAGTTCCACTTCTTCGGCCATATATCGATTAATTTATTGTTGTTTAATTTGATGACATCCTCATGTATTGACGAGCATCTTAATCATTTTTGTCACAATTTGCAAATTGAGGAAAGACAAGCTCTATGTCAACCTCAAAAGTACACTTTTGAGATGAACAATCTTGTCTTTTTGGCTTTTGTGGTGTTTGATGAAGGCTTTCAGGTTGATCAAATCAGGGCAGATTCTATAGTGAACTGGCTGACCACTAAATCTTCCAGGGATGTTTTCACTTACAAGGGTTGGCCTCTTTCAATAGGAGATGTAACAGAAATTTCAGGACGGTGATTACCTCCATACTGATCGCATGAAGCAGAAGTGTTTCACATGTACTCAGGAAGCAAAGGAGAGTCTTTATCTTGTAAAGACAAGATGACTAAAGCACCGGTGCTCGCATGGCTCTACTTTGAGAAAGGCTTCTAGGTGGACTGGTGATGCCTCACATATCAGGGAAAAACTGGATGATTAAAAACAATCAAATATGGATGACGCAAGGACTTGAAATGCCATCTACAAGAAGGAATTTTTAGGGCATTGCTCAAGCCCTTATGCATTGGAGGCATGATTTCATTCAAAAGGAGGTTGTTTGTGCTCAGATCATGAGCTCTCAATACCTCAACTCAGAGAGAGAGTTTAATTATCGGCATGTTAAGTCGGTAGGTTTCTACAAGTGCACACATTTACCTGCAGCCACAAATCCAGTGTCCATAACTGGGTGGCAAATGCCTTAAGTCGATGCTCTAAGCATATGAGTACTTTATCCCATGGAGCCATTGGGCATGGTGTTGATCAGAACTCCATACGTTGATGATCCCTGCAACAGGCCATAAGGGAAAGGTGTAAGGCAATGATCCTTCATCTAGACAATTGCGGGATGGCTATTTATTTTATGGCAAACAATTGTGTATCCCCAATGGGTCTTTGCAAGAAAACTTAATTACGGAGTTGCATGGTGGCAGCCTTGTTGGGCACCCCAAAACCATATAGCTTTGGTGGAGCAGAATATTACTGGGTTAGGCAATCTAGGCTTACGCTTAACATGAAGCGATATGTGGAGTATTACCTAATTTGCCAACTTTCGAAAGTTCAGAATCAAAATATTGGTCTTTACATGCCACTGCCAATTCCAAGTGCCCCATGGATCGACATGGTATTGATTTTGTTCTAGGCCTTCCAGAGACACAAAGGGGTATGGATTCTATATTTCTGGAGGCGGAACAATTTTCAAAAGTGACTCATTTTACACCATATAAGAGTACTTTTGATGATTCAATGGTGGCTAATTTATTTTTTAAAAACATTGCACAATGCCTGGTGTTCCTAAGACCACTACTTATAGGGACTTAAATTTTCTAGTCATTTTGGGGGGATATTGATGGCGCAAGATGGGAAGTAAGCTACAATATAGAGGTGCATAACAGCATATCACCATCCAACTAAATACCAAATCGAAGTAGTCAATCAAAGCCTCAAAAATCTACTGAAGTGCCTAGCAAGTAACAAGCCTTCTCAATGGGATTCAGTGCTTCCCCAAGTTGACACTATTAATAGGAGAAAGAAAAGTTTCCATTTAAGATTGCTTATGGCCAATCTCATACATGTTCTAGATGTTATGCCTTTATCAACCTAGAAAAGGTGAGTGACAATGCTGAGGCTTATACCCAAAAAATACATGAACTGCAAAAGGAAGTTGCAAGTAAGTGCTGCCAAGTACCAAGAAGATACCACTGCACATACAAGTCTGAAGGCTTATGAAGTTAAAGAGAACATGATAGTGTATCTACACAGAGGACCTTAAAAGGTCCTACCATAATCTCAAATATAAAAATATCGTTCCTTGTTGAGTGTTAGTGAAGATGGGAGATCACACGTATCTTGTAGACTTTCACCTTCCTGAACATCTACAAATTTCTCCAATTTTTATTGTTGATGAACTTTATGATTCTCATGGAGAAAGCAAGACAGCCTATTTCCAGAAAGGAAAATTGGTTACAGCACATGTCATGGAAGCCTTGCAAAAAAAAAAAAAAATCAAAGAAGTACCGGATGTGCAAAACATGTGGACTTGCCAACGAAATTAAAACTGATTACTTGTTCAATGGAAATGGTGCTCCTTAACCAGTTACTTGTTCAATGAAGGTACTTTAAGCACTTGATTTATTTTAACCTGTGGAGAATGATCACACAACTCCTGTAACTTTGTTATTTCTATAAATTCTGACATTGGATACATGCTTACTTTGGCAGAATAAATGCATGTTTTGGGCATTGTGTTCATGCTTTTGGATGTTTATGTTCAAGCATTGGGAGCAACCATTTCAGAACTCAAGGATTGGATTTTAGGGGTGGGTATGGTTAGGCTTCTTTCCCCACGAGTGGGGACCAGATTAAGTTGCCAAACAAGTCGTGTTTTTTATCTTGATAAAAAGAAAGCCTGAAAGATTTTATTAAAGGGACCTTGTGGCAGGATGAACTTTCAGTTTTGAAGTACGAGTAATGAATAATTGTAGAAGTTGTTGAGCCTCTTTCAAGCTCCCTCCTAGTTGTTGATTGCTCTCCCTAATTTGTTGAAGAACCTCCTTCATATTTTTGTCTTTATGTAATTTCCTCGTTGAACTCTTTCTCCCAGTTAGCTTCTATTTTCTATTGCCATTGGTGTTACCTGGTTTAGAGTAAGGAAATTCAGCTCTAATGTTGGTTGCATAAATTATAATGCAAAGGAAAAAGTTTATATAAGGTTGCAACCTTAAAATGTAGAATTAAAGGTGCACCTCAAAAATCCATCATAAACGGAAAAGCCCTCTTATTGAACATCTCGACATCGAGATGTATGAATATGAAAAGAAAAACAGATTTCGAGTCCGCAAATAGTGTACCTTACAACATATTATCTGGATAGTCCATTTTCAAGAATTTCATGTGTTAATAGATCTACTTGGAACCATTTTTAGAGTTTAAAATTTTATAATTAGAGATGAAAATATATTCTCATGCCATCCTAAGATTTTTTAATATCAAAATTACATTTATGATAAAATTTAGAGATGCGCCTTAATGGAATTGTTTAAGGTTACAACCAAACCACACCGTAATGCAAAACCTCAAAATACAATATCAGATAAGGAAAAGAATAACTCAGAATAACTCACACACACACACACACGAACGTGCACAGAGAGAGAGAGAGAGTCACTCTGCCATAATCTATATTAGGTGAAGATCAATCAAACATATTCACATACACCTGAAAACGCCCCTTATTCTTTCAAGTAAAATAGATTAGTGCAAGAAATATCACATCTGATTTAATCGGTTGTATCATATATGCTAGTGTATGAGAGAATTCTAATGATGCCAAGTTGCTGAAGAATCTAAAAGAAAATTCTACCAATTACGACCCTTATTCATATTCATGGCTATGCATGTCACATCTGTGCAGGTATCATGTTCTCTGTGTGATTTCAATTCTATAGCACTAATATTTAGCAACAGACATTATTTTGTGAATATACAAAGGAAGTTTTCCTTATTCCATTTTGCACTTCAAGAGATCACCAGATTAAAATGGCAAGCATGGTGAGAGAGAAAGAGATTGCTATCATACACTATTGAAGAGTCATGCATAGGAAGTACCTCTTTTAGGTCACCGTGAAACTCTTTAACTGTGGATATTGCTATTTCAGAAGCTTGGTCAATGGGAAATCTGCAGAAGCAAAGAACCAAGTCATAATGCGAGAGATACACAAAAAAATAACTGCTCCAAGAAAGCTCATTTAGCAAAACATAACGATATCCAAACTTCAAACCACCACCTCTGTTTTCAACAACTCACCGGTACACACCACATGATATGGCAGGAAATGCAATATATTTAATGTGGTTGTCATTAGCAACCCTCAAAGAGTTCCTGCAACAAATAAGAATCAATAAAATTCTCATATATTACATGGCAAAAAAGAATGGTGGCAAATGAGGACACCAATTGGACTACCCCCATAGATGATAGATCTTATAGGTCATTCATAAACTTGAAATATCAGTACAATACATGTATTAGTCCATTTGATTATATTAGTAATCTACCCCAGATGCAGGGTTTAAAATTCCATATAATTATCAGAAAAAGGTCAACTCAAGAATATCAGAGTCATTGAAAGAAATTGATTGGTTCATTTATTGTTCCCCACATTTCAAGTCTGGACCGTCTGCATGAATATTTTTAGAAATATGAAAAGCGGACAAGGTTATACAGCAATATATATATATATATATATATAGAAAAATGCTGAGATTAGCCCACTAACGGTCACGACTTCATTTTGTATTTGATTTTTAATTTTTTTCTATGAATCCAAATAATTTGAAATTTTAAGTGTGTATTCTTAAAAAATAGAAGAATCTAATAAAAATATCAAAAAAATAATTTGCAATAAATAAATTGACCAAAATACCTCTGAAACATTTTAGGAATATTTTGGTCAATTTATTTTTTGTGAATTACTTTTAAAATATTTTTATTATGTGCACTTGTGCACCTTGATGAGAAAAATAGACACCTAAAATTTCAAGTTATTTGGATTCGTAGAAAAAAAAAATCAAAATTCAAACACGAAATGAAGTTGTGACCGTCAGATC